GCTGGGCTCCTTTGGAAATGAAGACAGACTCTTACAAACGGCAAAACTGACGCTTGCAGATTGTATGTGGATTTCTCAACCTCAACACTTTTGACGTCGGTTTGAATGATCCTCTGCTGCGGGGCTGCCCTGTGCAGTCTTCATTAGATGCCAGCAGAGCACCACCCCTCCAAGTTGTGAGAACCAAAAGTGACTTCAGACATTGCCCCATGTCCCCTGCAGGCCACAGTCACCTCTGGCTGAGAATCACCAGATTAGATGAATAAAATACCATGTCCTCTGTACCCTATACAATAGATTAAAAACCTATTTTCCCTAAAACTTAAGTGACTGGGTTCCTAAATCTTCTATCACTTGACTATAAAAAAAAATCTATACAAAGCAATCAAAGACTGGGTGCATAAATACAATATGAATCATAAAATATGTTCGCTTTTTTTATATAGATCACTTTTTGAAATTCTAACATATCTGGAATAGACAACAGTACAGAATAATAAATAATGCATGGGTTTGGGGTGTTTTTTTTTGCTGAAATTAAAATATTCTTTACCTGGAGAAAAAGCTATTTACATTTTATGTACCATGAGATACATACAACATAGCATTATAATAACAAGCTCTCATTTTGACACCAGAGTTTCACATCCCTGCACAAATTAAAATGCTCCCCAAAGGCATAAAGTACACAAGCTTTATTGGGCAACAGCAACGCGCCACGCTGGCAGACAATGAGAAGAGAACCGCTCAGAACCTCGCAGGATCACGTGTGTGTCATCACAGGATCAAGAATTTAAACCATCTGGGAGCTCCTGCTAAATTAAAGCTCTGCACTATCACTTCCCGCTAATCAAAAAACGCTGTCCTGTTGAGTATTTGCCATGAGGATTACAGATAATCTACTAATGAGGACATCAGAGTCCCAGAGGAATTCACAGTCAGCCCCATGGCAACAAAATAATAAATGAGCCACAATTTTTGTTTTTTGCAAATACCACGCCCCCTCCCCACCTGCCCCCCGCCCCCACCAGCAAACACACTATTCACGGACATCGCTCAGCGACACCAACAGACTGTGTCTCCAACCATACTGTGACGGAGAAGACAGATTCCCAGGAACACCGTGCTGGTGTGAGAAGATGCTGAGCATCTCTAAGTACTGCAGTGCTGCTCAGGTGCTTATCGGTTCCATCCAAGAGCGTAATATATATATTTTTCCAAGACACAATGGACTTAATTAATGGAAATATTTCCTAAGACATATATATAAATGACCAAATAAAAAGCTTTGTTAAAAGAAGGGGGGAGAAATAAAGTCTGTTGTCTTTGCAAAGCTCCTTGTATATTTCTTAATGAAAAACAAAACTGTGAGTGATAGGATTTTAACACAGTGAAAACCAAGCATGTCTTCAAAACACTTGAGGTGACATCATATACTCACACATACACACGTTGCAAACACACCAAAAAGATCCAAGATAAAAATGGCTGATAGGTGTTGGCCTTAAGTAAGATGGAGCAGAAGAACACGTAGGTCCCATCTGCAATTCTGGCGCAGGTTTAAAATGCTGCCCCATAAAGGCGCAAGGGCATTCCTATCCCACCCCGGGAAAAGCAAAACAAAATATAAAAGCAAAAGTCTAGAGAAAGAAAAACAGGCATGATCGTGTCAATTTCCAATGAGCACAAAAGCCCAAAATACATTCAGAAGTACTGTCACAGGGCTTCCCCGGTGGCACAGTGGTTGAGAGTCCGCCTGCCGATGCAGGGGATGCGGGTTCGTGCCCTGGTCAGGGAAGATCCCACGTGCCACGGAGCAGCTGGGCCCGTGAGCCATGGCCGCTGAGCCTGCGCATCCGGAGCCTGTGCTCCGCAACGGGAGAGGCTGCAACAGTGAGAGGCCCGCGTACCGCAAAA